GAGGGAGGGAGAGACAGACAGACAGACAGACAGACAGACAGACAGACAGAATTACCGGCATTTGCTCTTACACAGCACGGCAGGCAGGCAGACAGACAGACAGACAAACCGACAAACACTCACACACTATTCCTGCATTTGTTATTATCTGGTATTCATGGTGCATGCAGGAGTGAAGGAGACATTTGAGAGACAGGACGGTGAAATGAAGGGGTGATGATTACATGCGCAACAAAAAAAGCATACGAGTGGAGATGAGCGCCCCATGCATGTGGCATCTGGTTTTCGTGGTGCATGTATGAGCGAGGGAAACTTGAAGAAAACAGAACGGTGAAATGAAAGGGTGATGAACACGCACGCAAACTATTCACAACGACAGGAGAGGTATGCTCCCGTGCATCAGTGGTACATGCATGAGTGAGAAGACCTTTCCGGGGTCAAGACTCAAGACGGTGAAATGAAAAGGTGATGAGTACGTGTGCGTAGAGCCTGCGGTGATGAGAGAGACGTGCCCATTGCGCGAATTCAAGTTTGAGGCAACATGCTTCACGCATGCCAAAACATTCTCCAAAACAAACCTGTATAGAAGAAGCGCAGGCTTCACGCATGCTAAAGCATTCCCCAACACAAGTTGTATAGCACGCAAGTGTATGGTCGAAGATGTCCCATTCAGAATCACAAGTAGACACTGTCCCGTCGTCTTTCAGCATTTATGTAGGAGAGTATTTCAAAAAATCTGTTGTGCTCATCCTTCTGGCCACCAAGCCTTCTACATAAAGCTGGAGCCTCACGACTAGCACTGAAGTACACACTTGGAATGACCCTTAGAATTCGGTCATACTATGGTTACTGTAGCAAGCTACTGTAGTCTCATCTGCTTTCCAATTTGTCCATGCTCACTCTGTCATCCTGTTGCATCTCTTCAATATCTTCATCTGCTCTCGTTGGCCATCCACCAATGACAACAGAAATGGATCCCTCCATTGTCCAATTCTGTGACCCTTAGAAACAAAGTTTCACACACACACACACACTCAGGCTTGGCACGAACTGACTACTTGCAAACGGCAGGTACACACAGTGGTGATCAGCCACGGCATCCAAGTGACTTCGCTTCGTTGGGCAAGGCTTGTCACTGGAGCCCTTGCCGCCCTGCTGAAGTGACATTGGAAAGGATTACATCAAGACTGCAACTCGCCCATGTTCAAGCGCTTTCACACACACGTGCCCCTTACTGGGGCTATCACGCCTTTTGCTTCATGTTGTGACGTGCGCGAGAAGCAAGTGCAGTTGAAAAGCAAAAGCAGTTTCAGAAACACATGGGCTGACACTCAGTTGAGTTTGGTGAGGTGTGATTGGAGGTACATCTGCGATTCAGAGCCGTACAACAAGATCGCGAGCACAATCTGGGAATGAACTACGTAATAGTTTACGGGGAACTAAAATGGCCGGATGTTTAAAAAAAGTCATGAAGGCACTTGGCCGCGTGAGCCGCCTGCGCGTAGCGTTTTTGGACGTCGGCTTTAGCCGATGAATTGTAGGCGAGGACTGATCCTAGATAATCTGCGTGTGGGGTGGGTTCTATTTTAAGCTCTTTCGGAAGATAGGGATCATGTCTAGCTTGGCAGAAGTCTCATTGACAAGGGTATGGGAATGATCTATGAGATATATGGGAGCTTCGGAATTAATGGCAAGGAGCTGGCACTTTTCATGGTTTAGGGCCATACCCCTGCCCAGGGCGTGAGATTGCAACGTGTGGAGAAATCGGTGTAAGGACAACCGCGTGCGCGAAAGCAATACGGTGTCATCCGCATACTCAATGTCTGTGAGTTTGAACTCCGATGTCAACACTGAAGGTCGGGGATCATAAGTGGGAGTGTAGACTTCATATGTGTCATGGAAAAGGGCAGAGAGGGTGATGATAAACAGGTATAGCGAAAGTGGGCCTTGACGGATGCCCTGAGCGAATTTCTTGGATTTGGAGTAGTAGCCTGAATCTTTGCCTGTAAAACGATAGTCGTGATATATCGATAAGATAACATTTTTGCAAATCTGCGGGGGGCTCCGATTCTGAGGGGCATTCTGAAAGGCGTCGTGGGAGACCAAATCAAACACCTGAGACCAATCCAGAAACAAGGCATAAAAGATTCTGGGCCTCGGCTATCCTGCAGAAGCTGATTACAAAGATGCTGTTTTTTGTCTTTACGGGCTCGCTTTTTAACTGCCTTACGCAATGTGTTGAGGAGGTCATGGTCTTCAAGTGAATCAGTGAAGTCGGTCGAAGCGATACGGTTGGTTCGGAGAGATATTCCTTGTCATATTTTGTTGGTCCTGTTTGGTGCGAGCAGCAGCTGTGTGTAGTGCGTTGGCCTGATCTTCGAGGGACAGTGAGTCGAACTTGGGGGGAGTACGTGCCGTGATGGTTTCGCTCAAGGGTGAACGGACTGGTAGGGAGTGTCTTCCTATGTTGGAGGCGTGGTGGACAACTCTTTTGCTAAATTGCGTGCATTGCCTTCGTGGCCTGAGTGACCCCTTATCTTCAGGAGCGAAATTTGCTTTTGGGGAAGAAGGTGATCGATCAGGGTACAAATTTGAGTAAGAAGGTAGTGATGCTGCTGTTGTGGAATAGAAATTCCCTGCAGAAAATCATTAGCAAGTTGGGAGTTCGTGTAGATGTTGAGTTGAGTTATGTGGTGCGATCGTTTGTGTCTGAAGATAAAACCGAAGACCTCCAGCAATGCTTGGAGTTCTGCAGTATTATTGGAACCCGATATAGTAGTGGAAATGTTCTGTCCGACCGGCCCTGCGAATCTATCCACTCTTGGGAGTGGTGTATGGTAAAACCCCAGCCAGCGGGGTTCCCCGCTCGCACTTGGTACTGGTTCGGACACGCTCCGTCCGCAAATGCGTTGGCGGCATCCGGGAGGGGCTCACGGCCCAGGGTGTGTGCAGCGCTCATCTGAAAAGGTGGTTTTGGTCTCCTGTAGTGCAGGATGTCGATTGCATGATCTGTCACGAAATCTGCCTTCCGTGACCCGTGAGTGTCTCTATATTGAAAGTCACGATATGTAGTTAATTGCGCTCCGGGCGCCAATTCAACAGGCGCGGCGGCATATCTAGCATTGACTGTTGCACATAGGACCTGAAAAGGTGTGCTCTCGATCCTATTATCGGCACCAATGTCTTGCCATAGGCTCTCTGAATTTGCGCTGGGCTGTTCGTTACCCTTTTCGGAGGGAGCCGGGGTGGACTAGGGCAAATTTGCCACTCAGCGAGTCTTGCATCCACTTACGATATTGGCGTCGAGACTCAGAACGCTGCGCCTGAAACTTAGACTGTCGGCGAAGCATAGAGCGCGTTGCGCGCAAACATTGATGGGAGTGTATTCCCTCCGACGCACAGCGAGATTCCCGGCCACTAGCCTCGCGTATGGTTTGGCGGTTTGCGCTGTTATGTAGTCCTAACAAATTACGGAATAAATGTTTGGGATGGCCGTGGCCCCCCGGCGTGCCGCTGGCGGCTCTCGCAGCACAGAGATGGTGATAGAGATTACGGGATTTGTTGCCAAGTAAACCGAACAGTGTCCAGTGCCTCGTCTGTAACACCAAGCGAGAGGTGTGCAGCGCAATAGTGCGCTTTATGTACTGCCATTCCATTCCTTCGGCAAACGGAACTGTTCGAAAAGTTTCGGGCGAGTACTCATAGGTCTCGAAGGAGCCCATAAACAGCAGCAATCTGCCAAAAGACACCGTCCAAGAAGAGTGACCCGAAGCCCGCGGAAGTACCTACTCCTTTGTTGTCAAAAGGTGGAGTGGCTTGGATACAGGCTTTCAGGGTACCGTCATGCTGAAGGTACCACACAAACTCCTCTGCTAGGTCTGAAACAGATCTGTTGTGGTTCGGGACCAAGCGCTAGTGAGTAGCCATTCCAGGCAAGATCGGGAGGGTCTGCTTGTCCAAAGGGAGGTGGCTATGAGCCGGTCCCAAGGAATCATAGGGGAGTGGGAGATATCGGCCTTTCTAGCCCACTCTGCTAGCTGGCAAAGTGCTTGTTCCAGACCTCCCTAAAAATACTGGGCGAACCAGGAGGCCATATCAAAGGTGGCTTGAAGGGCCGGGTCTAACAACGGGCCCCACATGCTCACAATCTGCTGCTCTGTCATTTCCCAGGTGGGGTTGTTGTATGGGATACGGGATGCAGTACGCAGCATGCTGCTGTGGAGTGTAGTCAGAGTACTGGGCACTTTGCGCAAGATTGTTGCATCAGTAGTAACGGCGGGTGCCTGCATGATGGGGTCGAGGTCAAAGAGAATACGATCGAGCTGCGAAATCATACATTTAGTGGGTGTGGGAATTGAGGTGCAGGAGTCCTGGGCCTGCTTTGAGGACCAGTGCTTAAGGTGCTCCTGGCAAAACGAACAATCCTGAGCATGACTTAGGGGCTTGTTACACAGATGTTGGGAACTGTTGATGCAGGGGCAAATCAGGGACTGCCATGGGACTGTGTCTTTCCACATAAAGCCCGGGGGAGCGGGATGATCCTTGCGATCAGGGCAATCAGCACAAAGGCACAAGAGCAGAGTGCACAAATAAAGGCTGGCTGTATCTTTGCTTGCCTTGGCCTTTGTTGTCCTGTGGCCGTGCTTGGTTAAGGCTTGAGCAACCGAAAAGGGGGGTTGCATGGGTACGGGACGGGGCCCAGGATTTCCAGCCGGAACCCCAACTATCATGGTTATCCTGATCATCATCCTTCTTCCACTTCGTTCGGGAGTCATGATCTCTCTCCTTCCAAGCACCCTTAGCTTGGCCCTTCTGGTTGCCTTTCTGGCCTCCTTTCTGGGATCCTTGGTAGTCCGACCATCCTCCTTGTTTCTGAGCCCATCCTTGGTACGAGGAGGTGCTGCGCTTATTGCCCATCTCGGGTTTCCAAGAGTCTTGGCAGTCATTGCGTTTTGGGGCCTGTTTACCTTTTCCGAAGCCCTTGGCCTTTGTGGACCCATTGCCGTAATCATCATAACCCTGGTCTAAGAAAGCCTGGGCCGTCAGGGCGGTCATGCCGCCAGCGCCCTGCAAGGGCAGCATTGGGTGAGACTGAAGCATAGAAGCTAGATCATCCGAGATCCTAACCGGCATCACTGTGTGCGGGAAAGCCTGTGGAGAAACTGCGGTGGTGAGGTCGAAAGCCTTGTCGAAGGAAGCTCGTTGCACAGTTGTGCGGTCAGCTGTGGCACGTTTCAGTGCCTGGACGAGGTACAGGGTGTCCCTCAATCGTCGCGCATTTTTTCGTGCCGTCTGTCCAGCGCCTGATCGTAGAAGCGGTCATGTACCAATAGTAGGCAGGAATAGCACCTCGAAAAGCGAGGGTCCAGAACATAGCTCACCTGTCCAATCAAGGTCTTCGGCTCTTCCCCTCTTGCAACGGTCCAGATGTGTTCTTCCTGGCCTGCTTCCTCAACATACAATTCGGACAAAAACATCAAGAAGGGCTAAATACAGCTGCATGGCCACGCGGTCGTCCACTGGTAGGTCCTGCTCAATACGAATTTTGCAGTCCTGGCACTGAGGGTCTCTCCAGTAGCGGAGGCCTTGCCGCATAGTGTCTCGGAAAGTGTCGGCCTGGGTCTCGGTCACGAACTCGATGCGAACCACAGCTGCCTGAGAGCTGACCATGTGATTGTGCAAAGCAGCAATATCATTCCAGGACATACCTGCCAGTTGAAGGTAGTAGCCACTGTTGGTGTCCAAACTCTTCTCGTTGAAAAGTGGCGGCAGGTCCATGAGCAGGATGGTCTTGTTGGCTTTACTTCTGTCCAAGCTATTGAGCTGTGAGGAATGGCGTTCAAGGGAATGTTGAATAACCGAAAGCTCGTGAGGGGCCATGTTGTAGAAACTGTCGCAGCAAAGGTGTGGCTGGTCCAGGAGAGGAGAACGCTGCGCTGGTGGTACTGCAGCATTGCTTGCTGCACATTGTCTTCGGCGGTGAGGTGTGGAATAGCTCTGTCCAATGTACTTCCAAAATCTCTCTTTTTGGCCGTGGTCTGTTCATCCCACGTGCCGTCAGCTGGGTTGTAGCACCGGTCAGTCGTGTGGATAGCGAGGAAATCTCGGCTGGCACTCTTGGATGTCTTAAGTTTGTTTTGCAACTCCGGGCCCAGGTCGGCAAAGTTGATGTCAAGCTCGACTTGGAATTCAAGCATGTCTTCCTCATCTTCGACCTTCTGCTTCTTCGGTGGCGAGGGTGGTGCAGACCCTGTCGGTGGCTGCTTCGACTGCAAAGCTTGCCATTCACGAAAGGCGGTCAGTTCGGCTGCAGAAACTTCCATACTTCCCGAGCTTGTCGCTTCAACCGGCTCAGGCCGCAGGTGTGGGAGCTCCAATGCAGGAGCCGCCTGTGGCGAGGGTGCAGCATGCACCGGGCTTTCCTGAAAATTTTCCTCCTTCTCAGGAGCTTCTGGCATGGCTTCAGCATTGGAGCGGGACAAAGCAAAACTGAGCATGTCAACTGCGAGGCTGTCAAAAACTGAATCTGCGAAACAATGGAATCAACGAAGCACTGCTGGGCCGGCGTTGAGCCGTCTCTGTGCTTGTGCCAAACGCCTCTTGGCACGAACTGATGCAATGAACTTTGAGCTACTTGCAAACGGCAGGTACACAGTGGTGATCAGCCACTGCATCCAAGTGACTTCGCTTCGTTGGGCAAGGCTTGTCACTGGAGCACTTGCCCCCCAGCTGAAATGACATTGGAAAGGATTACATCAAGACTGCAACTCGCCATGTTCAGGCGCTTTCACACACACACACAGAGAGAGAGAGCCGGGCGCGCACGCACGCGCACGCGCGCGCG